CCCTTGGACAACTGACAACTTCCAGAATTAGCTACATGGGCCTGCCCCAAGGCTCATGTCTCAGCCCTCTTCTTTATAACTTTTACGTCAAAGATATCGACAACTGTTTGGCAGAACAATGCACGCTAAGACAACTTGCAGATGACGGTGTGGTTTCCGTAAGAGGTCCACATGCCGTGGACTTGCAAGGACCATTGCAAAATTCCTTAGATAACTTGTCTTCTTGGGCTATGAATCTAGGGATCGAATTCTCGCCGCAGAAAACTGAACTGGTAGTGTTTACTCGAAAGCGGTACCCAGCCCAAATGCAGCTTAATCTTTTGGGCAGAAACATTACCCAATCATTGTCTTTCAAGTACCTTGGGGTCTGGTTTGATTCAAAATGCACTTGGAATACCCATATTACGTATTTGAAGCAAAAATGTCAGCAGAGGATCAACTTTCTCCGTTCAATTTGCGGCACATGGTGGGGTGCTCATCCGGGAGACCTCATAACGCTTTATAAAACAACTATTCTCTCTGTTCTAGAGTACGGCTCTTTCTGCTTTCTCTCGGCAAGAAAAAGTCACCTTATAAAATTGGAACGAATTCAATATCGTTGTCTGCGTATTGCTCTAGGCTGTATGCACTCAACGCATAACATGAGTCTCGAGGTTCTGGCAGGAGTAACACCCCTCCAGAACCGTTTCTGGGAGCTCTCTCTCAGAATACTAATCAAATGCGGAGTGACGAACACACTTATAATTGCTAATTTTGAAGAAATTCTTGGGTTGAACACACAATCTCGATTTATGAGAATCTACCACCACTACATATCATCAGATATGTGTCTTCCTTGTTATACTCCAGACCGTGTTCACTTCACCAATCGCAGTTCCTCAATTGAATATGATCTGACCATGAAACAAGCAACTCATGGGATTCCCGATCAACTTCGACCTATTATTATCCCACGTATTTTTACTGAAAAGTACCAACAAGTCAATTGCATGAAAAGATATTTTACAGACGGGTCCCGTCTCAATGGATCCACTGGCTTCGGTGTCTTCAATGAAAACTCTAGCGCCTTCCGCAAACTTCAGGAACCTTGTTCCGTTTTTGTTGCTGAGCTGGCAGCAATCAACTTCGCATTGGGGATGATTTCCAATATGCCCACAGACCATTACTTCATCTTCTCGGATAGTCTCAGTTCGATTGAGGCTATTCGGTCGATGAAACAAGGTAGGCACTCATCTTATTTCCTTTCAAAGGTAAGGGAGCAGATGTGTGTGCTGGTCGAAAGATCATATATGATTACCTTTGTATGGGTCCCCTCACATTGCTCAATCCCAGGCAATGAGAAGGCGGACTCTCTCGCAAAGGTGGGCGCGCAGGAAGGCGAATTGTATGACAGGCAAATTTCACACGATGAATTTTACCATTTAGTGCGTCAGAGTACCTTTTCGAGTTGGCAAACCGATTGGGACACTGGAAATCTTGGACGGTGGTTACATTCAATTATTCCTAATGTTTCTTCGAGAGCGTGGTTTAAAGGCTTGGGCTTAAGTCGTGACTTCATTCGCGTGATGAGTAGACTTATGTCCAACCACTACTCGCTAGATGCTCATCTCAATAGAATAAACCTCGTGGACAGCAACATCTGTCGGTGTGGAAACGGTTACGATGACATCGAACACGCAGTTTGGCAATGTACGGATAATGACGCCGCCAGAGAGCGACTTTTGAATACCCTCGAGGCCCAAGGAAGACAACCCTATGTTCCTATCAGAGACGTGTTGGCAACCCGTGATCTCTGCTATATGCAGTCCGTTTATGTTTTTCTTCAAATGTCTAGTATAAGAATTTAATTCCTTTTGTCTTTTGTCACTCTTTATTAGTTTTTGTTTGTCTTGTCCCCCCGTCTCGATGAGTCTCATCGTCGCCCACTGGTCACCCACCATAGCCGGTCGAACTCCGGACGAAGCTAGAACAGCACTACCGTTCATACTGGCGACAACGCTCTGATGAGACAACGAAACCCTACCCCAAGCTCCTCCCCTGATCCTATCCTTCGAAAATGTACCCTTCTAACCTCGAGTAAGCCGCGAGTAATCGGCCCAACTCCTACTAGACATAGAATTAAGTGAATTTTGTTACACACAGTGAACAATGAATTATCGGCTCCGTAAAGCTAACGCGATTGAGCCTCCCAAATAAACGAACTAGATAAAAAAAAAATCTCCCTCCTCCATTAAAAAAACATCGATAGTAGTATCTTGAGAATCTTGAGAAGAATGACTTCACGGAAAGAGGAGGAAAGGAACACGTTTTTGTTACCTTCACTCACAGGCAATCAAATGTAAGATGTATCAATATTATTCATGATGATGATGGACATCTGCAGCTCAAATTCTGTGTACATCGCACAACTGCATTGACCAATGTGCAACTGTTTTTCGTAAAATAGTAGGTGGTGTGTGTCTCCAGTAAAATGCCTTGGCTCTCTTATCATTTTCAAGAGGTAACATTTACTAAATTTTCTTTGAAAAGAAAACTGGCATCACTGATAAGTTTCTCCTTTCCCTTCACAACCTGCTTTATCCTTTCCAATAATATCATAACATACACAACTGGGGTGTCTTAGTAGGAGTAAATGCAACTATCTTCAAATTATCTGTGTAGCTTAAATGTACCGGTTAAATGAACAAACAAGCCATCTTGCAGAGCTCCTTAAGCGGAAGGTTCTACTTAAGGTTCTAGCATTGCTAGATATAGGGTCCGCTCAAGATGCTACCTGGGTGGCCATTCAACTACGACAAAGAAAGATATTGGAGTGATTGTTCCACATTATCGGGAGCGAGACTGACCATGATCGTTTTCCTTCACTGGTGCGTTCGACAATCATTTTTGTTTGCATTCACCTTACCTCCTTGTCCATTAAACCCGTATCTTCAATTTGCTTCTGAATTTTCTTCAAAGCCTTAATCAATGCCACCTTGTCGCTATTTCGCCACTGAATTTGACTGAATTTTATGTAAATAAGCTTCTTAAAATTATACATCTTCCTGTTCAACGATTCATCCAGCTTTGGGTAATGCAATTTAACTATATTCTGGGATTGTTCGAAATTAAAACATTACTCATAATTGGGTTTACTGTTTTAAGCATGTACAAAAAAAAACATCTGTCAAAACAATTTTTTTTAGGTGTTCGTGACCTTATTTGTTTGCGGAGTACTCCATCTCACAACTATATTGGAGCCGGGTCAAACAGTAACGTCCATTGATCTTGCAAGTTACAACTATCCCGAGAGCATTTGCTTCGCAGACTTTTGTTTTGATTTTCAAACCTTTAATGCGTCACGCCGGTGGTCTTCCTAATGCACCATTAACCACGTTCGATCAATTTTCCATAACATAATTCACTTTCCATCATTATTCCGGTAGTTTTCCAGACGCAGTATTAATTACTTTCGATCAATACTCCGGTGGTCCTCCAGACGGAACATAATTCATATTCGATCATTGTTTCGGTGGTCTTTCAGACTCACCTTTGACTAGCAATTGTCGCAAACAATTTATGAACAACATGGTGATGGTCTTCCAGACGCACCTTGGATTATTGTAAATCACAAATCATTAATATTCCGGAGTCTACTAGACGCACCTTAACAGGTCACAAACCACTGACACCAATATTTTGGCGGTCTTCTAGACACGCCATTGCATGTCGATTTCCGATGGATTTCGAGACACATCCATCTTTAAGTCAAACTGCATATTCCTGACATGCTTCAGTGGTCTTCCGGATACACAATGTGTGCCAGTCTACGAAACGGTTTGGACCAATTCTCCGGTGGTCTTCGAGACGCTGCATGCATCGTCTTATGAAATGAAATGCTTTCAATTAAAAGCTCCGGTGGTCTTCCAGACACACCTTGTGGCGTTTTCGAACCACAAACCAAAAATCTGCGCAATGCTTTGTCAGAATACGCAGTTCTTTCAATCAAAGCTCTGGTGGTCTTCTAGATACACCTTGTGGCGTTTCTAACCACAAACCAAAACAATCTGCACATTGTTTTATTCCAGAATACTCAATGCTTGTAATCAATGCTCCGGTGGTCGTCTAGACACACCTTGTGGCGTTCCACAAGCCAAATTTCACATTTTGTTCGGACGCAACTGTATGAAAAATGTGAATCCGTTTATAATGACCTGGCAGGATCGCCAATGTGAAATTCTGCCATTGATTGAAGAATCCGATTGCAGGCGTCCACTCGCAATGACGATACGATGAGGAAGAGGACGAGAGACGATCGCTGCGTGCTCTCGTAGTCTGCCGTCACATCAGCTGATGAGTGCGCAGGGTTATGTTCGAGTAAATAGTGAGCGGCTAGCATCTCTATGCGGGGGGTATTCAACCGCACAATTATGTAAAAGCTGCTAAACTGCGGTAGAAACTCCGAATAAACTCCAAATTAAAAGAGAAAAAATATTTTACATTCCTGGCATCATTGGTCATCTCCTTCAAACAGCACGCAGAACTTTCCGAAGAGCATTCTTCATAAACATTAAGAAGAGTGAGAACCCTAATAAAAAAAATACCATAAACGAACGATCACCCAAATGATTGAACTATTTCACAAATTGTTTGGATGATACCCCGAACATGTCGTTACGCAAATTAACCATAACATTATTATTAGGGAAGCTCGATTGTCAAGTCCCGTCCCGGAGTATTTTTCTAATACGAACCGGTTCTGCTGGCTGGTAGCCCTAGACGCTCTAGGCCGTAGCATTCATACCCCTTCCTGGCAAATGCATCTGTATGCGTGTCGGCGTTTTCCTCTATTTGCCATTTTTGACGTTTCCACAGTGTTCGCATTTTTATCTTCACTGCTGATTGATCTGTCCCACTTTTCGTCTTCGTTTCGACAATCACAGTTTAGTTGGGTGTGTAAATATTTTAATTTTATTTTAGGTTTTCAGTCAACATTAATGAACTAATGAAGTTAATTGGGGGTATTCTAGCTCACTGTTGTTTAAACATCCCGTGTGAAATGGCGAAAAATACGTCCAGCTCTGCATTCCGTAAAATCGATGTTGATCAGTACAATGAGGACAACTTCCGAGAGGATGACGCAGATCAGGCCTCCAGTGGGATGATTGTCCCAGATGAGAACGAAATTACTACTTTGCTCAATCAATATCCTTTTATAAAAGATAGATAAAGATCCACCATGCATAATTTCATCGTTATTTTCAATAGCAAAACTAAAAATTGGGTACAATAGTATTAATCTTATCTTCGGATGAGTCATCTATCTTGATTGCTAAAATAAGTCGTATCTCAAAATGTGACTTCCTTAACCAAAATAATCTCTTAGCACAGGAAGAAACCTCGATGCATTGAAGACAGTTTTACAAAATGCGCCTGTATTGTGCAAGAATCAGCAAGTAAAGGTAAATACTTGATGAAGTTTAAGCGTTTTAGTTCCTCGGAGATCATTGAGATGAGAAATACATTTTTTTAGGATAACGCACTAAATTTAACTTTGAAAGTGCTGCTGTCGATCAAGTCATCGCAGATTGATGCTGCCATCGAATCACTAGATGACCCGGAGCTGTGGGATGTGCTGATGAAGTATATTTACCGTGGATTCGAAATTCCATCCGAAGGGTCCAGCGGACATTTGCTGACCTGGCACGAGAAGGTTTTCGCCAAGGGTGGCGTTGGTAGCATCGTGCGGGTGTTGTCCGATAGTGCCCGCGCTTAGAATGGAACCCGAGGGACATCTGGATTGTACGTGTAATATCCGAAATATTTGGGAAAATACTGCCCTTGTGTATGAGGCACAGAGTAACTGTAAACTGGCTTCAAGCAGGGTAAGTGTGCAAGTTTTCAACCCAAGTGATCCTCTTTTTGGCCATACCTTAAATTTCATTTTTTTTTTTCATTTAATTTCGTGGCAAGGTTAGAAGACAACATTTTTGTCAAATAAAATCATGAACATTTATTCTCTAGGTCCAAAAACTGGAGCACTAGTGCTAAAACTGGTTCACTTACCCTATTGAACTCTATATAATATTCAAATATATGTTAATAAAATTACAATTAGATTCCAATGAAATAATCGTTATTTTTTAATTACGTTGATGTCTACAACTTTTGTTAAGAACTCAAATCCGTATCTCTTATGCATGACGAACCAGAGCAAATAGAATCCACTACTGTTTTTCAGTGAATGTATTTTACATTCACTGATAAACAGTAACGAGTTCTGCCCGCTCTAATTCGTGATGCATAAGAGATACGGATTTGAGTTCTTAACAAAAGTTGTAGCTAATAACAAAATCTACAAAAGCTTCATACACTATTTTGCGGAATTCTGTTGAAGAAAAAAGTTAGAGGCAAATGAATGCATGAAATGAATGTAAATGATTGTCCATGCCTGGCTGCCGCTATTCATTTTTTACAGTATCAAACTCGAGGGGTGTCTACCTAGCTCGTAAGGTGATCGGTAATCAAAAATTACCACAATTTTTTTAAATAATTAGTCAATTTTGAATTATTCAGTTATTTCAATGTTATAAACATAATTGTGAGTAATTTCAGTAATTCCTACTGCTTGGAAAATAATTTGGTAATTTAACAAAAAAAAAGGAATTTGAGTAATTCCATAAATATTTGTACTCTGGAATAATCATATTCTTTATTGTTCTACGTAAATTTTATGCTTTTAGTTGCTTCAGGTATACTTAATTATTAAATTAGAGGAAATCGAAATTAGATATTAAAAAAATGAAATCAGAAAAAAAATTTAGGGGCCACATTATGTAACCAAATCAAAGCAACTTTTTAATGTCATGCTTTAACAAAATAAGCGTCAAGGCCCACGCACATTACATCCGGATCGGACGCGTTGCGGCAAAGTGACAGCTAAATTTATTGTCTAACTGTCAAATTTACGTCAACGCAACGCAAACGGATCTAATGTGAATGGCCCTTTATTGTCACGCTAAATTGGGTTCTTTATTTTTTTTAAATGTATCGGTTTTTATACATCATCTGAAAGAGCTTCGTTTTCTGAGCACAGCGATATTTTTTTCGAAAACATACACTTTCATCACGATTTTTAAATCAATATTTAAAGCAAAATAATAACTTCACTCTTTGACACTAAATTAACAGACTGACAGCTCGCTCCCATGCAAAGTGCCACCGAGGGGCCCTAAGATGGTATTTTTTGCAAATGTAATCGTACTTATTTAAAATAGTTCCAGTGTACCAAAATTGATGAAATTTTGGATTTGGGTTCTATTTTTAATGCAGATTATGAATATGCATTTACCTCAATACCCTTAAAGAACCCAATTGAGGAAAAATTAACCTCTCCCCCTCCCGACCCTTTCGTTACGTTTTTCCTATACCTGCATTGCCTTTTCACAAAATTTATAAACCCACCCTCTCCCTCGCCATCACCCCTTAGCGCATAGCGATAATCGAGATATTTGATTGCCAATTATGTTGACATTCGCATCAGCGCGCGTAAATCCAAATAATCCAAATCAGACACGTTGATAGGGTTGATAGAGACACGCAAAGAAAATTTCTGTCAAAACAGCAGCACGGTTTTTGAGGGATATTTTTACAATGTCACTGGCAACCATGTTTCTTCGAGTGGCTTCAAATGACTTTCATGCAGTGGCGCAATGCTGTTGAGAGAATTTGAACGTTCGACCGGAAAATAAAAATGAATTGCGCGGCAACATTTTGCAAAAATAAAGCGACTACGAGAGATGACAGTCGCTCCATGACAGTATAACCACAGACAAACAGACGTAACTCTTTGAAAAACTTGTTCTTGAAAACATAGTATCTCAAAACATATAACCTCAGTAACGACATCTCTCTGGCTTCTCGCGGAAAACAAGCTTGCTCGCTAACTCGTAAACAATATTGCATAAAAGTTCTATAGAATATATAGAAACGTCAAAGTGATCCGATGCCAGCGCTGCGGCGAGTAGTTCGCGGAACTGATAATATTCAAATCAACCGATAAATGCATGAACGAAGATACACAATGAAGAGTTACGTCTGTTTGTCTGTGGTATAACTTTTGTCATATTTTACTGTTTTGCTTGCAGCGCAATAATGTTTTTACCATAAAACTGAATAAAACGTTCCGAATCGAAATTGTTTTTTATCACTTATAAATGTTGTATTTAATTGAATCAACATTAAATAAATAAATAACAGATAGGGGAAATGGCTCTAATGTTGGCCTATGGATCTAAAATTGGGTCCATCGCTAAAAATCTGCTATTTATCAATTTTATCTAGATGACCGCGTCATTGGGACGGTACTAATGGCTATTTTGGTCGCTATTGAAAATTTAGTCGATTGCTGAATTTATGTATGGGTCCAAATTAAGGACATTTAGGCCGACATTACATACATTTCCCCTATAATTTATTTCGTGAAAATAATTAAACGTTTTTTTTTCAATGGTGAAAAAAGTGTTTAATTATTTTCATAGTCCTTTTTGGTGAATTGAGCGAACAGTAATGTTTATTTCTAGACTAACATTTGAAAATGGCGGAATTCCAAAATCACCATATCGAGAAAATCGCTTCCGAATTTTGATGACCTAAACATTAATCCTATTTCACGACTTTCCATTTTCTGGATGATCTTATTAGCTTGACGTATAGTTAATAGTGTAGTCTATAATCATGGATCACTAAACACTCCAAAATTGTCGTGCAATTGAGAAGAAACTTTATACGCCCTGATAATTTCATACTTGTTCTTACCCCCCGGATCTTCCACCCTTCTATCTATCTATCACCAACACTGGTGATACGCCGTGGAAATACACCCATGGAATTTTTTGTGTGTTGTTCCGCCTTGGTTCTTCGTTCTCAAATTTTGTGAGAGTGAAATTGGCGATCTAACGATAGCCCTCGTGACGAATAGGAGAAATAGAAAAATGATGATGGTCTTAAAATTTTGCACGTTGAGGTATAGGAAAGAAATCTTGAAAAGCATTTATTATCCGAAAAAAAATATTTGTCATTTTTTTAAAATAAGCTACGGGGGAAGAAACCTCAACAGGTATCCGATACGCCTTTTTAATGCACCACCAACGTAGAGTGCGCCACGCGAGTTCGAGAAGAAACGTCAGCCAAACCGTTTGTTTACATCAGAATAAGTATTTTCCCCAACGCAAATAACCGCATTTTTCATTCAAAATCTTGCCAATTTCCATCGGTAATTGTCTTATTGTACGATTTTCCACAAATCTGAACTGATTTGCACCTTAACTATTCACACACAAGATATCCGGAAGATCATAACCACTAAGGCACTTTACTAATTTTCCATTTTTCTCAACAAATATATTCCTGAACACCAGCAGGATCTTTTCCAAAACGTTACAGAATCAAATTTTTCAACTGTAGATTAAGTTTTGCAGCATCTCAAATGAATCAATTTAACAGGAAAAGTAAAAAAGTGTTATGCAAAATTTATGCTCACAACACTCTTTTTGACTTTCTCCTATTCACCACCAGAGGTTGAATCGATCGTTTAGTTTCTATTTAAAAGGCTTATAGACGTATAATTGTAAAATTTTGTTTTTTCTTAGTTTTCGTTTAGATCTTTAGATCTTAACTTTTCTAACCTTGTATGCACAACCAAATTTATAGAAAATACTTTATTCGTTAAATATAAGCGTTTTTAAAATATTCTCCCAATCCCGTGCAAAATTATGATACCATCATCAGTTTTCTAGTTCTCCTATTTGCCACAAGTGGCGCTTTACGCTATCGTTAGATTACCAATTGGCAAATCAAAGTTGGCACTCGTGGAGAATAGACGAACTATGAAAGTGATGATGGTTTTAAAAAATTTCCACGGAGAGCTATACGAGTGCAATCTTAAAATGCTTTTATTTTGAAAATGGAGCATTGCATTTAAATCTGGTTGTTGCTACAATTGGGTTCTTTAAGCGTATTGAGGTAAATGCATAATCGTATTCTGCATTAAAAATGGAACCCAAACCCAAAATTTCATCAATTTTGGTACACTGGAACTATTTTAAATAAGCACGATTACATTTGCAAAAATCACCTTATTAGCGCCCCTCGGTGTCACTTTGTATGGGAGCGAGCTGTCAGTTTGTTAGTTTAGCGTCAAACAGTGAAGTTATTATTTTGCTTCAAATCTTGATTTAAAAATCGAGATGAAAGTGTGTGGGTTCGAAAAAAATATCGCTGTGCTCAGAAAACGAAGCTCTCTCAGATGATGTATAAAAAACGATACATTTTTCAAAATTAAAGAACCCGATTGTAGAAAAGCTGAAATCTATGAATACACCTAAAAATCTGAAAAGAAATTATTTTTTCTATATTATATATCTTTTGAGTAGTCCTTAAGTTTTCTACTAACGTAGCATCAACCAAATTTAAATAAAATGCTCCATTTGCAAAATAAAGGCATTTTAAGATTGAACTCGTATACCTCACCGTGTAAAATTTTGAAACCATCATCACTTTTATAGTTCATCTATTCTCCACGAGTGCCAACTTTGATTTGCCTATTACGCCCGGAGATTTTTTTTTTGTCTTCTTTTTGTTCGTTGTTTGCTCGCGAAATATGAATCGGGCGTGACTAAATACTGCATAAAATAGAAATACTCAAAGGGAGAGATAGGCGGAGAAAACAAAATACAATTCGACAGCAGAGCGGTTCCACGAACAAGTGGGAAATTTTTCCAGTTTTTATTTTTTGTATTTTTTGATTTGCATGAAACCTTGCATACAAGTTTTTGGGGAAGAAAAACGCCGTTTTGCATACTTGGTTCGCCATTTTGAATCTAGCCTTACTTATGAGAAGGGCCTATGAAAAATGCACATGATATCTTCAAAAAATTGTATCTCGGAAACGGTTTGTCCGATTGGTTTGGTGTCTTGGGCGAAGTTTT